CACTGAAATACCATGCCGAAGGCAACCAGCACAGCATTCTGCCCGGTCACGTTATACTAACAACGGGTGAACCAGTTGCTGTCATTCCCTAAATGCTGAACGTTAAGCAGGCAATGACAACTATCATTTTAAGGACCTTGATATGTCCAGACCTGGGACCAGAACCTATTGCCTTCCTTACCTGGGCGAACATTCAAAATTTAAGCCAGAAGTATGGTATTGCGAAGCAAGTATCGTAATTGGTGCAGCAGATTGTCGCTTTTGTGTCCCCTAATGGAGGGCACAAAAGCAAATCCTTAATTCTGCAGGGGTTGAACATATTACTCTTTCCTCTATCCCCGACCCGCAGGGGTGTACTTAACGTTAAACATTTTGGGTAATTGTCGGTATAATGTAACCGGGCGGAATGCTGTGATGGGTGTCTAACTCATGGTATTGCAGTGAGATTGTACTTTAGTCGGCATCAGATCTGTGCTATCACAAGGAGGCAAGTACACCAGGATACCCTGCCTCCAGCACACATACACGCTTGCGCACCACACATCGAGGCACGTACTTTATTGACCTTACCTGTTGATAGGACGTTGAATCCTGATAACCTACCAGCAAATTTTATAGTGCAACCTCACTGAAATATCATTCCGAATGTACCCAACACGGTATTCCATCTTAAACTGACAACAGGTAAAGAGGTTGCTGCGATAACCGAAATGCTGAACGTTAAGTAAACAAAAACACTCGATGAAAAAACTCATCCACACGATTTCTGAGAACAGGGTTACCACAAACATCGTATAATTATAAAATGTGCAACGTATATCTTTGCATGTCATGTTTAAATAGTTGAAGAAAAATGCCATATTAAACAAAATTAGCAAAACAAAACCGGACGTCTTTGTGTCTATACGCTATTATCTGCTCCGACTCTTTGTCACTACTACAAAGTATTAAAAACCGGAACTTTAGCAACAATCTCGTACAAATAATCGCCCTCCGTATTAACAGCATTTTAGTTTTCTGTCAACTGATCTCGACTTGGATTCCCGGCCATGTCGGAATAAATGGAAATGAAAAAGTAGATAGAGCTGTTAAGACAGCACTGAACCTCAATACGAAATATATAAAACTGACTTATTCTGATTTTAAACCTTAAATAGCTATTTTTTTAAACGAATTGGTAAAAAATATATGGTCTGAAGAAAGAAACAATAAGTTATTGCCAGTTCAACCTAGTGTAGGTTTATGTGCAAAAGGTAGAGCAGACCTCAGAAAGGAAGTTGTCCCTACATCACACATAGCTACATTTTGCATTGGGAAGACCAACCTTGTTGTCATGCCAGTGATCAGCCATTTATGGTCAAACACTTTATGATTGAATGCGCTGATTTCAAACAAATACGTGACAGATTTTATAAGGTACCCTCTATGAAACGGTTATTCGATACAGTTTCTGTGCAATCAATATATGACAAATTACATTCAATTAATCTCTATTATAAAATATGATATATTTTATAAACAATTCGTTTGCTATTGATAAATTTTGACATCTTTACACATTTTAACCTTTTGTTTCTTGTTTTTTAAGTATTAAGTTTTTTGTGAATGTGTATTTTTACTCTGTTGTTTGGCCCTAAATGACTCAAATTGTCGATGGGCCGTAAAACAATACCAAACAAATCAAAATATTTGTGTCTATAACGGATCACGTTTGTCTATAACGGATGGCGGCTTCTGACGGTGATGCTCGATTGCTGGCTGGTCTTGAAATATTTCTTATCTGCTGGATAAGCGGCCCAATTGATACATGGACAACTCCAAAGCCGATATCTTATTTAAACACTTTCGTTCAACTACCTTCTGCTATTGTCCCTAAATGACTTACATTGTCGATGGGCCGTTAACAATACAAAAACAAAATCATCTGCTAAGTAAAATAAATATCCTTTTACGACGGATATGTATCCATGGGGTTCCAATAAATGAAACCAAATTGTATAACGTTGAGATACCACAATTGGTACAATTTTGACAGTTTTGCGCTGATATTGAAAATGCACAATTTCTTGATTCCTGACAACGATAACCCATTATTGTTCAATTTCAGAAAAAAAAGTTTGATTCTAGGTAATTTGTTTTTAAAAATAGAACGCTAAACTCGCAGTGAGATTTCGACCGTTTTTCAGCTATGTTAACCATGTCACAGGCCAAGAAACTTGTTTGTATTTCTACTAGTTGAGGTGCCGATTGCAACATGCTTATAATTAACATCTTCAAAATCCTTCTAAATTTCGTCGACATGAACGTTGTTTTTACTTGCTTTTTGATATGTTTACTTTGTCATCGTGTACTCTTAAAATAATCCGTTTTCATGACTTTTGATTATATCAACAATATGAATGACTTCAAGAACAACTGTCCCTGCAGGAAGGACGTAAGTATTGTACCTGCTGTACCCATTGCATGATCTTAAACTAAAACTAAACTTCTGTAAAACGTTGACCATATCATGATACATAAACCACAGCTGTGCAGTTCTATGATTTGCATGAATGTTTCTGAACTCGTCGAGCTAAGTCTGTATTTTCTCTATAAAATCGTCGTTACAGATATCAGTAACGGTGGTATTTCCTTTTAACAGATCATCGAGGACAGTCGCGGCGTGTTGTATTTTCCTGTTATGTTGTTCAGACAAATCTTCTAGAGTAATAATAAATTATAACGGAGGTTCATCGATGATTTCAGAAATTGAAATCGGAACACCGTAGACCTGCTCAATTAGACTGGTTTAGTTTAGTATTTTTTAACGTCCTATCCACAGCTACGGCATCCCATGTGTGCATGCGTGTAGTGTATGCGTGTGTGTTTTTGGAGGCTGCAATATGTTCCGTGATGTCTCCTTGTGATAGCGCGGAACTGATGCCGACTTTATAGTGCTACCTCACTGAAACATACTGTCGAAGACACCAAGCAGGATACCCTTCCCGGTCACATTATAATGACAATGGAAGAACCATTCGTCCCACTCCCAAATTGCTGCGCGTTAAGTAGAAGTAGAAACTACCATTTTACAGACTCTGGTATGTCTCGGCCAGGGGCGAACGCTCAACTAAAGGCCAAAGGTGAGGCATTGTCAAGAGAGACATTAGGAAGAAGAAAGTTGTTTAGACAGAAGAGAAAATAGAAGTTCCAAAATTAAGTCGCCTCATACGATCATGCAATGGGTGCAGCAGGTACAACGATTACGCCCTACCTGCAAGGACGTCTATGTAAGGATTATTAGTACATGTTTGGTTTTTGGAATGTCCCATACGTTGATCTTACTGTTTCTCTTGATATCCGACATGAAAAAGACGTTGTTGTTTTTGTTCTGGCTTATGCAATGGCAGTGTGTGGAATTAACACGTCGGCATCCGCGGCTGCATGTTTTGTCTCTATTCCATGTACATGAAGCTTTGAGCTGAGCAAATTCAAAAAGTTTTGCTTATTTTCGTTGTTGGCTAGAAACGAATCTTTCTTGGAACGGAAGGGAGTGTTCATGGTAAATGATGTTTTGTTTTTGTATTGTTTAAAGGGCCACCGACAATGTGAGTCATTTAGGGCCAACAATATTGTAAAAAGATACATTCACGAAAAAAGACACATTAAACCAAAACTTTATAGCTTAAAAATATGTAAACGATTCAAGAAATACCTCAATATTGAACAAATTGCCTGCACAATATATCATATTTTATTGTAAAGATCAATAGAGTGTAAATAGTCATATATTAATTGCACAATCGATAGTAACAGTCTTTCTTACCAATACAAGCACGACAGAAGAGGCAATAGCTGCTGGAGAACATCCTAATGCGACCTCGTATGGTGACACTGGAGTCGAGGGACTTGATACATTAAGATACAGAAAGTTCACAAGTCGTGTATTATCTAACAAAACGTTTCTATAAATTCACACTTCGCCACCGACATCAGCTGTTGCTGCGTGTCATAGCATGCGATGTTAGCTTCAAGTCCAGGCTTGGATTACGGAGGAGGATTGTGAGAACCTTAACGCATGCGTATGGGAATGGACCCGTTCAAATGGTAGAATTATGCCTATTACAACAAACAGAGCTCCAGCTCCTGAAAAGTTCATGCTGACTATTCGTTGCAAGTGCAAGACAAATTGCGATACCCGAAGGTGCACATGCCGAAAACATGGCTTGGAATGCTCTGAGACTGAAAGGGGAACAGTTGTTCCAATTCACGTAGCCTAGACATCCTTGACTAATAAAGTGTCCCTGTAGATATTTTATAGAACTAAATTGAATGTCTTACTGCACACGATACATGTACTTGGATGTCATAGAACACTTTAATTCATGGACGTACTATTGTTATTTTTA